TAATGTAAACATCTATAAAAAAATAAATAAATAATTTTTAAAATTATTTTTTCAAAAATAAAGTATTTGATAATTTTTATTTAACCTATACATACCTATCGCAAAAGAATTTCTTATTCTTCTTTTTGCTCAATTGTGAGCCGATGAGACGCGATAGATTCTTGATCCATGTAAAGTGTCCATCGTTGCTGTTTTCTTCCACGTATAGTAAATTAATATGTTTATCCCTTTTTTTATTCGTCAGCCGTATTGGAAGGATCGTATGCTGATTGTCCTTCGTCTCGATGGTATAGACATTGATCGAAATGGCGTTGAGATTTTCAAACTTTTTAATTTGACTCAACGTCATTGGAAACTCAATATCTTTCAAATTTAATACCTCCTCATAATGCGGATAGGAGGATTCTCGATTCATATTACTTTTAGCAGGATGTAGAGCGGCCACCACAGCCCACGCGAAACATGCATTGTCCTTGGATCGCACGTTTACAACAGCTCTCTTCAACTCAATTTCTCTTGGCAACTCGATGTGGCATCCCGCGTGCAATGGATTGTGCTTGTTTATATTAACAGATAAATTAAGTATGCGTAACAACTTCCATCCACTGTCACGTTCCTGGAATTCTTCCAGCGATGCTAAGGTAGGCTCAACAACGCGTGAATCGTACCACTCGTGTAAATCCGTGCAATGATAGAGTTCACTGTTTCTCGTGGCAACACTTTTATTCGCGCGTTTGTCACCCGATTCAAATTCGCCGTTAAAAATTGTGTTTATTTTAATACTGCTATGCATCTGCATAACATTTCGCACGTGTTCAAACACAATTTCTCGCGCATCCTTGAGAAACTGACTCGGATCGATGTGCCTGGAATTTATAACGGCACCGGTCAGTATACGGCTTTTGAAAGCCGTATCTATCTCACGCCACCTGAGCCCTGCGTTGAGTCCTGCACCCACATGTATGAATCGTTTACGCACCAAGTCTTTCCAACTTTCGAGTCGCGCGATACGATGGATCACTGATTGTTGTGCACCGATCGATAATCGCGGACGTTTATTTTGATTCTCTTCTTCAAGCGATTCGATGAACTCGTCAACATGCTGTTCCCACACCATAAAATCTTCTTGCGTATTCAGCCGGCTGGCTTGCTCCTGGAGTTCACGTTCCCTTTGCTCCATATTCATTTTTACAATCACAAACACTGAACTTTACGCGAGAACTCGGAACTTTAGCTGTGCAACTGACAGAATGTACTGCCAGTCTCTTCGTTTTATACCCTACTAAGGGTTGCTAGCATTTTGAAATATGACTTATTTTTTATTGCGAGACGAATGGGTTTTAGTCGAAACTGTGTATAATGTTGAGAGAGTATAGACAGGTATGCAGATA